TATTTGAAAGGAGATTTGGCTTTTTAAGATTCCCCAAGCTGGGATCTCACTCTGTTTCCAGATTTTACAATACTTTTTTTTGCTGCCAGCAAGACATGAGTTATTATAAATCTATTGTTTAATCCCATTTTGGGCCATTTTAGGTGTAACAGCGCTGTTAGAGGAGAAAAAGTCAAGGCTATTCCCGTAACGTCCTCTAAAGCTGTATATGTTAGTTTAAAAAGGCTTTTAATTTCTGGCAGGTCCACCATATGTGGGTGTAGGAACCTTCCATGTGGCTGCAACACCAACAAAGTATAGAGGGTGTAGGAAACATCTTATTTATTTTCTTTGGGACTAGATACCATCCTGTTGCTACCTTATATTGGAATTCAATGAGATTGAGGCAATGTATACATTTCTTAACTTCTGGTATGGTTTTATAACATTCTGTAAAACTGATCTCGGAGGAGTATCCTAGTTTAAACCCATTAAACCTAGTTAACTATGGGAAGCTTGCAGCCTGCTTCCATCAGCCCATCTGAGCTAATGGAAGTGGCAGGCACGCTCTACATGAGCGTGCCTGACTCCTCCCACAAAGACCTCAGACCAGGTCCTCCAGACCTCAGACTAGCTCTTCCAGACCTCAGACCAGGCGTGCACACTTGCACATGGGCACCAACTCAGAGGCATCTAAATGAGAGACTGAAAGTCTCTTCCAGGAAAAAAAAGGGGAGGGTTTGCTAAGGCTAAAGTTTATAAAACCGCAATTTTAAAAATTCATACATGTATTAATTACTGGTATTTCTACTAAATAGTGCTTTTTTTTTTTGCTCATCTGGGCAGCGGTGTGTTTAAGTGCACTGAACCAAAATTCACCATTTTATTTATAAACGATGTTTTGCATGCATAATGTTTAAAACTGGCTGTGACTACCGTATGTGGCGGCTTATAACTAACTGCAATGGAAAGTTTGCTATTTGCTCTATTGATATTTTGCAACAAATTAACATTTTTACTTTTATTTTTATTTTTTTATTCTCCAAAGTGCACCCATCAACAAAATAGAGAAAACCTCCATCTTGTTTTTGCTATATAAAATGACTATGAAATGTATCTATCCAATTCTATTTTCATCAAAGATTTTCCAGCCTTTATCTGTCTGCCATCTGCGTATAAATATAACTGTTACTACCACTATCATTATGCTGGTGAGTGGGTTGCACGATTAAGCTTGTCCGCCTATAGTGCACTATTATGGATTTCAGAATGATATAAATACACTTGAAGACAGGATCAAAATCTTTCTTTTGTATGAGTTTTTTTTTTTTTGCATGTATCATACTTATTAGCAGAAATGTGAACTTTAAACATTAATTATTACGATTTCAGAATGAGTGGTATTTACATTTTCCCTGGCAATTTAATTTGTCCAATGTAGATACAATTTGATTGTGAAAATGACTCAAAGGTCCCAAACTAATAACACCATTACTATCCATTCCTCCAGAATGGGCGGACAAACAAGAGGAACTAGTTGAAGATTTAAAAAACAGAACAAAAAATAAAATAAACAAAAGTAAATAGGAATACATGAGCAACTATGTTTAAAATAAAATACATAGTTAAAAACTTGATGTATTTAAGATAGCTATACAGAACTTGACATGAATATTGAGGAAGAGGCCACAGTACGATACATTGAATGTCCTGGAGAACCAAAGTTTATAGTCATAATTTATTAGTTTGCTATCGAAATCCTCAAACGGAGAACTCATTCATAGCGATGTTAAACATTTTTTGTCAAAAAGCAAAACACACAAAAATATACACCCTTCACCCTCCAATGGTTATGTTTGCAAAAACACATTAATAGGATGTGAAGATTTGGTGGCACCACAACGATTACTGGTGTTTTTGCGCAGTTATTTCTTTCAAGCAACTCAAGCAGATAGTGTGGCTAGAAATTCTCTGTTTTAAAGTGGATGTAAATAGCTGCACCCATGGCCACCTTACACCGTTACCACTATAATAGCTGTAGAGGTTATAGCTCTTGAAATGTCCCTTTAACGCCACATCAAACAAGTGGTAACATTAACTTTGTGCTCAAATAATTCATTGAGGGGTGAAGCTGGCAGCCCAATTTCAAATTAGAAATGGTAAACTTTCAACTTGGATGACAATTTTTTTTTCATAATTTTTTTTTCTAGACAAAATGTGGGTCCTTTGATGGAAAACTTAAATTATACTGTGTAGTGAATATACACAATCAAGCTCACTGATAGAAAATCTCACTGGCACACAGGCATACTCACAACACATACTCTCACTGGAACACCGACAAGCTGATACAAAAGCTAACTGTCAACACACAAATGCAAGCTCACTAGACACACCTTGACAAAGATATGACAAACATATGACAAACACACACACTCATCACTGGCACACACAATGTGAGGAATTCATTTAAAAGAGTGTATAGGGTCATAAAGTTCTTGGAATACTGAAACAAGATTTTCCATTTAGGGTGCAACTAGTTTTGTCCCCTAATGATTCCCACTTATTGCATATGCATTGGCCACATGATGGAGGAACATCTCCACCTTGTGAAACATTATTTTTTAAAACTGTTTTTTTTTGGTGCCCAGTTTGTAAGCATTCTTTCACACTTTGTAATGCTCTTTATGAAACCCCAGTGATGGTAGGCTTAAACACATCTGAAAATCATTCCTTCTTCCTTGCTATGGTGAAAATGGTTAGAGTTTTTATCCACCATGTTTAGAAATAATTTGATTCTGCATCTTTTGTCCTACATCTGCTGTTATCTTTTCTTAAAAGGTGCTTCCCTTAGAGTGAACAAGATGTCAGATATTGATAAAATTATGCAAAATTTGTAGCACATTCATACTCCTGCCACTTTTGATTCTGGGTTGCTTAAAGCCCGTAAACAGAAGATATCCAGAGTTGCTCACTTCCAACCTGCATATTTTAATATGGCAATCACTGGCACCACATGTCCCGTAAGGGTAGTCCGCTTATTCAGGGAATGACCCTGCAAACTGATACATTTATTATACCATTTGGGACTTTTAGTTGGTTAATGTTTTCAATTAATATTTGAACGTTTAGAATAGTATAATCAAGGGGAGGTTGATCATTAACTGTGAACCTTGACAGTGGTATGCTGTGAATGCTAAGAAAGCTTCAACATATACCTACAGACTCTTTTCTGTGATTCATATGTACTGAAGATAATACTAATTAGTTGTTATTCCTCAAATTCATATGATTATGTGGATAGCTAGAAATATGCTATTTTTAGTATGTTTGGCTCATATAATATTGTTAAACCTGTGGTTCTTGTTTTGCATGATATTTACATGTTCTCATGTTCAGTACTATACTTAAACGGCTTAATAAGGCTTAAGACAAAAACACTTATTCATCATGCCGTATGGTATCATAGACGTAGCCACATGGGAGAATATTAGTGGCATATCCTATGTCACGTATATCTGGTTCGTTTGTCTTCCTTTTTCCCATGTCACAGGGCTTTTGACTTGTTTGCTAGCTCTTTTTCCCTTGTCAAATGTTAATGGATCAGTGGAGGTTTTCCGCCCTGCTCATGCACACATCATCACTTATTATACATGCAAACACAGACTCATTACATAACAACACTAATTACACATGCATGCAGAGTGATTACACATGCACAAACACTTGGGTAGTTCAAAAACAGATGGGACCCTGAGGCAACACAGTCACAAGGCCACCCCCTTAAAATTAATGATTTATTTTTCTTTTATTGCCGTTACCTTGTTCTTCTTGACTACTCAATCTTTTTCTTTTTTTTAATGACATCTTCCTTATTTTTTTATCCATATACATTTCTTTACCCACCCTTTCATTTATTAGGTATGGTGGGAAAAGAAACCTGGAGTAGGATTAAGGAAGTAATTTGGGAATGAGAATGTAGTGAAGGGAATTTGTAGTGATAATGAAAAAGTACTGAGAATTAAATAGTATGAGTTCAGAATGAGTGGTAAGGTAATTGGAGTGGGATGGAGATGATGAATTGAAATTGAGAAGAGAGAAGAAGGAACCTGCTGTGGGATTGAAAAAAGTGGGGGAAGAAAAACTAAAGAGGTGAAGGAAAGCGTAACTGATGTCGGGGTATACAATCTTGAAGATAGTTTTGGGAAAATGGTGCAACCTGTAATGGGATTGAGAATGGGGAAGGTAATAATAATTAAGTATGCTTGGGAGGCCCACGCCACCTCTATGTTTGGGTCTCGAGAGAATGCTGTATGCCATGTTATTTTTTCCCCCTGCGCATATGAATGAGGTAAAGAGAGACTGTACTGTTTTTTTTTTTTTTTTTAATTCTTTATTTTTGTTGTGCGTAAGTTTATAACAGTTGCTTGTGAGGTACCCCAACGGCAATCCTCTAGCACATTTCAAACATTGTAACGTGAAGGTACAAGAAAATTCTAGCACATGTTTTTATATATATATATATACACGGTTAAGTCGAGTAGTAAACAATATGTATTGTAGTAGCTTAGCCTCTTCTATGACATAATAGCAACAATGCGTAATATTATGGTTAAGTTGTGAATTGACATAAGCCTACATACGTTTATACAGTCTAATAGGTGTACGTGCAGGCAAGCCCTCAGTTTCTCTATAGACTTTAAACAGGCTGGGGTTGCTATATTATTCCACTCCAACTAGTAAAATAGTGCCTATTAGTTGAGCATTTACGTAGTAATAGGTAACGATCTAACACATGCTTAACTTGGGTCTAGATCTAGGTTCTGAGTGGAATCAATTGTTTGTACACATAGAATTCGCTTGGAGTATTAAATGGGTGTCAGGTTTGAGCACCATCTGAGGCTACGAAGTAATTTGGGATAGGTTAGGCATCTTATGTTATTCAGGTTAAACTCGATAGTTATACAGGCAGTTCTAACTAGATATAATATTAAGTAAAATAATAAAGTAGATTAGTAACAGTGGAGTTTACATCGATATTTGTACTATTTTTAGTTAGCAAATGAAGACATGTTCAACATAGGTTAATGGCAGGCACTAACTGTGAGTCATAAAATATATGTTAACTAACTGTGCGTTGGTATGTTAAGAGCAGATAGCAGTAACTTGACAATATTGTCTGCCTGGGTATCAACAGCTGGAATATAGCGGTAAGTCCTGAGGGGGGCACGGGTACCTCGCTCGGGAGCACGTAGCACTGTCAGCCGATGCCCCGGCTTGGTAGGTCCGTATCGTCCCTGGGGGTCATCAGTCGCTGTCCTCGCTGCCTCGCCGTGCAGAGTCCCGCATGTCTGGTGTGGATGAGGACATCCAGGCAGTCACTCAAGGCAGCAGTGGTGAGGAGGGAGTTCTTCCCTTGAGCTAGTACCAGGATGAGAGTCTTGTCGTTGCAAGCCCGGCAACCTCCTGTTGTCAGCTGCCGTCCAGGCTTGGTCCTCACGCCAGAGTTCCGTCCCATTAGTATAGAGCCACGGTGTCTCGGTTGCGGGAATCCTCTCCTGCCCCAGAGCTGTGGGAGAGCTGGCGCTCGTAGGCCACGAGCCTGGGAACCTTCATGGTCCAGGGTCGGCCCTTTCGGGGTGGTGCGGGGAGATAGATCGGGTCGCTTGGGTGCTCGTCTTGCCTCTCTCCGCTTGTGTGGCCAGCGCCTCTGGGGTACTCCCCTTCTTGCTCTCAGCTTGAGAGGGCCTAAGATGTGGGGATTTGATGCAAGGGTCTTAAAGTTGCCCTGAGGAGGACTCCCATGCTCCCGTCCGCCATTTGCTCTTACCCTTATGGGTGATGTTTGGCAGGGCCCTGTGGGCTGTAAGCGTGCCCGTAATTTGGCCCAGAAGCGGTCAAAGATTATTGTGATGGGATCTTTTGCGTGGTCCCCGGTGTCCTCTGCATCCGGAGGTCACTGTCGCTTGTCGGACACTGTCGTGTTGGAGTGATCCGCCATCTTGGGCACTCCCGTCCCCTCGTTTCTTATGGAGATCTTTATGTTTGTCTGTTGGTGCAGGGTTCCGGATAGCCCACCAGACGGGAACCGGGATAACCCTGTCAGGGTACCTGTTGGTGATGTATCCAGGGAGGACATCCTCTCTGCTTAGGGGCTCCCTTCCCCTAGCATTTCGGCATATTCCGGCCGTTTTCGCGCCGGCCGCGCTAGCTCCTCCCCCTTTTATGACGCGACGGCTAGCGTCGACGTCATGACGTCGGCATTTGCATAAAGTGCCGGGAACCGCTATTCCGGACCTTTTGGGGGCGTGGTCTCTATTTAGGTTACAGGGTATTTAAAGGAAACCTTTACTACTGCTCATTGCCCTGTCGTGGTTCTAGCTTGCTAGTCACTCAGCGCGTTCTTTATCTTGTGTTTCCGGTTTTGACCCTTGCTTGTCTTTTGTCCTGTTGTCCTCTCCTCTCCTTTGACTCGGCTTGTATCTCGCTTACCTGTCCTCCGGCTCCCTTGACCTCGGCTTACCTTTTGACTATTCTTGCTTTGTCCTTACGTTAGTCCGGCCATTCTAAGGTCCGGTATACGTACCTCCTTCTGTGCGCACTCTGCGTATTGGATCCCTGTCAGTTTCCTGACATTACGACAGGGCCATGATGGATCCTGCAGGTGCTAGTCCTCCTGACCCCAGATTTGAGGCCATGGACCATAGAATGGACCAAATGGCTTTAGCATTACAAACTTTGTTGACACGCTCCAGTACCCAGTCTGAAGAAATACGTTCCACTGCTAGCCACTCGCTAAGTACTGGTTTGGAAGTAGCCACTGTAGGCGCATCTTCCCATGTCACGTCACCATTACGATATGGGGGTTCGCCTGATGCTTGTCGTGGTTTTTTAAACCAGATAAGTATACATTTCGAACTACAACCCCGGGCTTACCCCACTGACAGGGCTAAGGTAGGCTTTATCATAACCCTGCTAATAGATAAAGCACTTAGATGGGCCAATCCCCTTTGGGAGAATGACAATCCTTTAGTCTACAACTACACTGCGTTTGTCACGGCTTTTAGAAGAACCTTTGACCCCCCAGGGAGGAAGATTAATGCGGCCAGATCCCTGTTACGCCTTAAACAACAAGATAGGACCCTTGTAGAATATGCTCTAGAGTTTAGATCATTGGCAGCAGAAGTGAAATGGAACGAACAAGCTTTTATGGATGTTTTCTTGAATGGGTTGTCTGATGAAATTCTAGATGAAATTGCCACAAGAGAACTTCCGGAAAATTTAGAGGATTTAGTATCCTTCATTTCCAGAATAGATGAACGCATGAGACAGAGGCAGAACACTCGGGAAAGAGTTACTAGACTTCCTGTAAGACTCGCTCCCTCATTTCAGAACCCTGACTCCTATAATCCTACTCCACCAGAACCTATGCAAATAGGTAATACTCGCTTATCTGAGGCTGAGAGACAGTACAGAAGAAGGGAGGGTCTCTGTTTATACTGCGGGCTGAGAGGTCACCTACGTCTTAGTTGCCCTAATCGTCCGGGAAACGCTCGCACCTAAGTTCCCTTAGAGGACGGGCCTTGGGTGTTTCATTACTGTCCTCTATACATAATAAAAAAGACCATAGGCTTCTGATTCCTGTCTCTCTAGCTTGGGAAAAGGGGTTTATTGCTACGATGGCATTATTAGATTCTGGAGCAGCAGAAAGCTTTATAGACCAAACTTTTGCCAATAAGCATTGTATCCCATTCCAATTGAGAGATACACCCTTGGCCGTTGAGGCCATAGATGGTAGACCTTTATCTGAACCAGTAATATTCCATGAGACCGAACCCGTTAAGCTTACTGTTGGTATTTTCCACGAAGAGTTGATTTCCCTTCTGTTAATTTCCTCCCCGGCAGTCCCAGTGGTTCTAGGATATTCTTGGCCCAAGAGACACAACCCTCAGATTGACTGGGAGGGTGGAGAAATCGTTTCTTGGGGTATGGGTTGTAGGAAAGAATGTCTGCAGAGAGTTACATCTGTTTGCCCCGTAAACTCTTATGCTAACACTTCTCAATCCACAGATGTTCAGATACCATTACAATATCTAGACCTCAAATCTGTATTTGACAAGGGTAAGGCGGATACTTTACCTCCCCACCGGTCTTATGACTGTTCTATTAAACTTTTCCCTGGTACTATGCCTCCCAGGGGTACGGTATACCCTCTATCCACCAAGGAAAACTTAGTTTTAGAGGAATATATCAAGGAGAATTTAGACAAGGGATTTATTAGAAAGTCTTCTTCTCCGGCGGGGGCGGGTTTCTTTTTTGTAGAAAAGAAAGACGGTACCTTACGTCCTTGTATAGACTATCGGGGATTGAACAAAATTACTATCAGAAATGCTTACCCTATTCCTTTGATTACTGAACTCTTTGACAGACTAAAGGGCTCGAGTATTTTTACTAAACTTGACTTAAGAGGAGCATATAACTTAGTGCGAATTAAACAAGGAGATGAATGGATGACAGCATTTAATACCCGTTACGGGCATTATGAGTATACCGTAATGCCGTTTGGGCTTTGTAACGCCCCGGCCGTCTTCCAAGACTTGATCAATGAAGTTCTTAGAGAATTCCAACATGAATGTGTAATTGTATATTTGGATGATATACTAATCCATTCTAGAGATATTAATTCACATCATAGACAAGTCAGAAAGGTATTACAGAAACTTTTACAACATGGATTGTATTGTAAATTGGAAAAATGTAGCTTTGACCAGTCTCAGGTAACTTTCTTAGGTTACGTAATTTCCAAAGACGGGTTTATGATGGACCCGACCAAACTAAAATCGATTTTAGATTGGCCTTTACCTAAGGGACTCAAAGCCATACAAAGATTTCTTGGATTTTCGAATTATTACAGACGTTTTATTAAAGGGTACTCCTCTGTTATCGCTCCTATCACTAATATGACCAAACAAGGAGCCGATACCAAGACCTGGTCTACTGAGGCTTTATCTGCTTTCGAAACGCTCAAACAGTCTTTTGCCTCAGCACCTGTATTAGTTCATCCTGATACCTCTCTACCCTTTTTACTTGAAGTTGATGCGTCTGAAACAGGGATAGGCGCAGTGTTATCCCAACGACAAAGTTTAGATAAGCCGCTGCACCCTTGCGGTTTTTTTTCCAAGAAACTATCACACACTGAAAGGAGATATGACATTGGTGATAGGGAACTTTTAGCTATCATTATGGCATTAAAGGAATGGAGACATTTGTTAGAGGGCACCGTCCTCCCAGTTACTATCTTGACTGACCACAAAAATTTATCGTATATGGGGGAGGCCAAAAGATTATCTGCCAGGCAGGCACGTTGGTCTATGTTCCTTACACACTTTAATTATGTGCTTACTTACAGGCCTGGTTCTAAGAACACTAAGGCAGACGCTTTGTCACGTCAGCACGAACCTACCACCTCTACAGAGGATACTTTGTTCCCTATTATTCCTGAAGTCAATATTATCGCCAACACCAATGTCAAAATACACTCTCCACTGCTCGCTGATATTCAGAACGAACAATCTCTTGCTCCCGAACGTACTCCTGTGGGCCGCTTGTTCGTATCTCCCAAATTCCAAGTGGACATTATTCGCTGTTTCCACGATAGCAAGATCGCTGGTCACCCCGGCATCCACAAAACTTACTGTCTGATCTCCAAAGACTTCTGGTGGCCCGGTTTACGTAGGGATGTGGAAGACTTTGTCAAGGCTTGCAATGTTTGTGTCAGGAATAAACTTCCGCGGGATCTCCCTTGTGGTTTATTGCAGCCCTTAGTCGTTCCCAACAAACCTTGGGCTTGTTTGGCTATGGATTTTATTGTTGATCTACCAGCTTCCAATAGGCATACAGTTATCCTCACGGTCCTTGACAGGTTTACTAAAATGGCTCATTTCGTTCCCTTGCCTAAACTTCCGTCCTCCCCCGAACTGGCCGTGATATTTGCTAGAGAAATTTTCCGTTTACATGGTATTCCCAATGAGATTGTGTCAGACAGGGGTTCCCAATTTATTTCCCGTTTTTGGAGATCCTTCTGTTCACAGTTGGGCATCAAACTGAATTTTTCTTCGGCCTATCATCCTCAATCTAACGGAGCAGCCGAACGCACTAACCAAAAAATTGAGCAATATCTACGTTGTTTTGTTTCTGAACACCAGGATGACTGGGTCGGTCTGATTCCTTGGGCGGAGTTTGCTCACAACAACCTTGTTTGTGGTTCCACTCATAATAGCCCCTTTTTCTTGAACTATGGCTTTAACCCTACTGTTCTTCCGTCGGTGTCTCCTTCCCAGGGTATACCGTCGGTTGATATTCATATAGCCAACCTGAGAAAGTTGTGGGATCAGACTCGACAAATTCTTGAACGTAGTTCCGCGGTGTTTAAGTCACATGCTGATAGGCGTAGACGTCCTGCTCCTATTTTTTCTCCGGGGATAGGGTCTGGTTGTGTACCAGACACATTCGCCTGAAAGTTCCTTCCTTGAAGTTTGCTCCTCGTTACATTGGTCCTTACAGGGTACTGAGGAGGATCAACCCGGTTTCTTATTTGCTGGATCTACCTCCTACTCTACGCATCCCTAACTCTTTTCATGTGTCGTTATTGAAACCTCTTGTTTGTAACAGATTTTCCTCCCGCTCTGCTCCTCCATCCTCGGTCCGTGTGGATGGTCAGGAGGAATATATCATCAAGTCCATCCTTGATTCTCGTATTTCTAGGGGGAAGCTGCAATACCTCATAGACTGGAAAGGTTATGGTCCAGAAGAGAGGTCTTGGGTTCCTGGTATAGACGTGCATGCTCCTCGTCTTCTACGGGCCTTCCACGTTCGTTTTCCTTCTAAACCAGGTCCCATCCGCCCGGTGGGCGTTTCTAGAAGGGGGGGTACTGTCAGGGTACCTGTTGGTGATGTATCCAGGGAGGACATCCTCTCTGCTTAGGGGCTCCCTTCCCCTAGCATTTCGGCATATTTCGGCCGTTTTCGCGCCGGCCGCGCTAGCTCCTCCCCCTTTTATGACGCGACGGCTAGCGTCGACGTCATGACGTCGGCATTTGCATAAAGTGCCGGGAACCGCTATTCCGGACCTTTTGGGGGCGTGGTCTCTATTTAGGTAACAGGGTATTTAAAGGAAACCTTTACTACTGCTCATTGCCCTGTCGTGGTTCTAGCTTGCTAGTCACTCAGCGCATTCTTTATCTTGTGTTTCCGGTTTTGACCCTTGCTTGTCTTTTGTCCTGTTGTCCTCTCCTCTCCTTTGACTCGGCTTGTATCTCGCTTACCTGTCCTCCGGCTCCCTTGACCTCGGCTTACCTTTTGACTATTCTTGCTTTGTCCTTACGTTAGTCCGGCCATTCTAAGGTCCGGTATACGTACCTCCTTCTGTGCGCACTCTGCGTATTGGATCCCTGTCAGTTTCCTGACAAACCCCCACCGGTCCATAGGGGGGGTGCGTGTTTTGTACTCGTGTGCCACAGTTGGAATCCAGCGGGAAGGCAGCCGTCCTTCCCCCCTACTTCTACTAGGCCTCATTTTACCGCTGCGCTTCCCGGTCAAGTCAGGCTTCAGGTTAGGTACCGGCATGTTCGTGGTTGCTTCCCCCAGCTCACAGGCAGGTTTGTGGGGAAATCGCAGCAGTTAATCTTCAGATTTCTGTAGAATTTGGGCCTACACTGCAGGAGCTCATGCAATGTGCGTCTAGTTAGCTTGCCTGTTCTGCTCCGCCCCGAGACTGTACTGTTTTAAGGAAAGTTCTAGGTAAATGGGTGGGGATTGTATTGATTAGATAGAGCATACGTGGTAGGATTGTCATGATCAGAATATTGACTCTACCGAGCCAGCGGAAGTGGGGTCTATTCCATTGCTGCAGGTCTTTCTTGATCTCACCAAGTAGTTTAGGAACGTTTGCAGCATATATGTTCTGTGTGAATGAAGTGATGTGCACTCCAATATATTTTATGGAGTCTTGTGCCGACAGAAAGGGGAAGTTGTGGCGCAGATGGTCCACCTCCTCTTCACCAACAGTAAGTATTTTGCATTTAGCTTAATTGATTTTGAAGTTAGAGTATGAGCTATATTCCCTGATTACCTCCATGATGTGGGTAAGGGATTTCGCTGGAGCCATGACTGTGAACAAGAGGTCATCCTCAATTGCTACGTTTTTGTGCACTGCTTGCAGTAAGGGTTCTAATATGAGAATGAACAAGAAGGGAGAGAGGGGGCAACCCTTACATGTGTCGTAGGTAGTGGTTGAGAGAGAATTCCATTGACCTTAATCCTAGCGGTGGGGGTGGAGTAAATTATAAGCCAGGTCAACCAGTTGGGACCAAATCCCAGCGACTTCATGGTGGCCATGAGAAAATACCAGGGAGTTCAGTGTGCTTAAGAAGTGTAATGCCACCTGTTGTTCAAAGGTTTTATAATACATTGATGGGAACCCATCTGGTCCAGGAGTTTTCTGGGTTGGGGTAGAACGAATTGCCCTATTTAATTCCTCTAGTGTAAATTGCTCATCTAAAGAGTGAGCCAACGCCGTTGGAATCTTGACGTCTAATTGTGTAGCTAAGTATGTTTCAATAGTCTCTGGGTTATGGGTTTCATGTTTTAGGTTACATAGTGACTGGTAAAAATCTTTAAACGCCTCAACTATGGATTATAGTGTATGGACTACTGAGCCGTTAGGCAGTCGTATTTTAGGTACATTGGCTTTCTGTTGGTGCTTTTTAAGAGCGGATGCTAACAATCTGCTGCATCTGTTGCCTTGTGAGCTGTTTGGTCCACAGCATAGCCTTTTTACGATTTTAAGCTCTGACCAAAGGGAGAGCAATTTACGGTATTCTGTGTCAGAGATGGTGTCTTTATGTATGATCTCTAAGTCTGCAATTTGTTTGTGTAGATGTGATCTAGCTTTGGATCATTCTATCTTAAGGTAAGATCCCCATTTCACCAATTCACCCCATATGACACATTTTTGTGAGAGTGGAGAAGGTGCACACTAGAGGGGAGTTGTAGAAATAGGGGGGGAAGGATGTTCAAATTGGGACTGATAATGTGTGATGGGGCATTTAAAGCTGAATTAATAAAGTGGGGGAGTCGGATTTAAGTAACATTGGGTAAATAGAAAGGAACATAGGATGGAATTGGGAAGTAGGGGAAGATATCAGAAGTGGGATTCTGTAGGTTCATGATGAGAGTCTTGAGTTCTATTATATATGTATTGAAACCGAACATGGAGTGGGATTGGGAAAATAGCTGAAGGGAATAGACAGGAAATCTGAAAAGGTATTGAAAAATAGTTTGAAGTGGCATAATCTGTCAATGGAATATGAAAGGGGAATATTACCAGGGCCACTGGAGACAATTGGATAGAAATTCCTGATGGAAGAGGTTTCTGCTCTGCTTCAGTCCTCCCAACCCACCACCTGCTCCCTAGATCCAATTCCCTCGCATCTCATCCGTACGTCTTCTTCTCTTTCTCCACCTCTTACTAAAATTCTCAATCTCTCTCTCTCCTCTGGTATATTTCCATCGCCCTTCAAACATGCAAATGTAACCCCAATTCTAAAGAAGCCCAATCTTGACCCTAACTCCCCATCCAACTATAGTCCTATCTCGCTACTGCCTTTTGCATCCAAGATCCTTGAAAGAATTGTGTATGCGAGATTGACAGACTTCCTCGGGTCCAACTCTTTGCTAGACCCGCTTCAGTCTGGTTTCCGCTCTAAGCACTATGTGGAAATGGCACTGATCAAAGTATCCAATGATCTACTCGCTGCAAAATCTCGTGGTCACTACTCTCCTTGACCAGAATCTCGTGGTCTATTCTCCTTGACCTGTCTGTGGCTTATGACACTGTTGATCATCAACAGCTTCTTCTAATCCTCCGCAATATTGGTCTACAAGATATTGCTCTCTCCTGGCTCTGCTTCTTCTCCCCATCTCCTCTCTCTTGGTGTCCCCCAAGGTTCAGTCCTTGGTCCCCTCCTGTTCTCCATCTATACTGCCTCCCTTGGTAAACTCATTAGCTCCTTTGGCTTCCAATATCATTTCTATGCAAATGACACGCAAATCTACCTGTCCTCTCCTGATCTCTCTGTTGGTCCATTCCACTATCTTTTCTTGCCTTGACTACTGTAATCCGCTTCTCAGTGGTCTTACGTGCTCCCAACTTGCGCCATTACAGTCCATAATGAATGCGGCAGCGAGGCTCATCCACTCCGCCTGCACCTCCCATGCCTCACCCTTCTGTCAGTCCCTACATTGGCTTCCTATAAAATATAGAGCTCAATTTAAAATTCTTCTTATACACAAGTATGTCCCGTCTAGGCCCTTACGGTCTGCTGAAGACTTACATCTTCAGCAGACCGTACTCTCACCTCTGTCCATACTCTCACCTCTGATGCTCGCCTTCAAGATTTCTCGAGGGCTGCACTGTTCCTGTGGAACTTGCTTCCCTCCTCCATTAGATGCTCACCCAGTCTCCACTCCTTCAAAAAATCGTTAAAAACCCACTTCTTCATAATAGTGTATCAATTAAACTGTTAATAGCTCCTGACTGATTCCTCTTCTGCAACTGTCACTAGTCTAATACTATCCTCCATAGCTGGTCAAATAAATAACACATTTGCTGGCACTTTGCATTAATATATTACATCTAATAACTGGTTTAACAACTGGTTAAAAACATCTGTTGGAGAGGCGGAGCATGACCCTTGAAGCGCATGGTCACATGTTTCCAGGGCCGGCCTTAGGGGTGTGCGAGCTGTATGGCTGCACAGTGCCCCATGGAGCAGGGCGTACCATGTGGCCGACACAGCTCGCACATGGCCGGGTGAGAGCAGAGGGAGCTAAACTCCGAGAGTTCATTATTTCCCACCGGGGACTATGAAAGTAAAGGGGCGGGGCTTACCGAATGGTAGGAGCAGACCTTACTGCATGGAGGAAGCGGGGCTAAATGCACTGAAGCTCCATGTACTTGCTGCAGAGCTTACAGTGAATATACACACAGAAACATACATTCACTTTACATGTACATACACTTTACGATGTACATACAATCAAATACATGGTACACCTACACCAGCATATATATTGGTCTGCTGGGGGCCCAGTTGCTAATTTTGCCCAGGGGGCCCAGGTCACTGTCGGTCTGTCCCTGGTCTAAGTAGTAAATAGTGCAGGGTGAAAAGTTCCTACAAGGACAAAATGTTTTCTCCCTGTCCTAATTAGTAGAAATGTAGCTCTCCAAATTCATTTTTCTATTCTATGTCTTAAAAACTGACAGCACAGTAATCAATTTAATGTATTTTTTTAAAGATCTGCCTCAATTTTAATGCATCATTTTTATTGTGTTATTCAAATCAAACAATTTAATACCACCATAATAAGCATAACAACATGATCACTGCTTTTATGTAACCCATTGTGGATTAAACCGCAGGAACTTCAAACTGCATCGTTCATACATAGTACTTAGATTGTCATTTTTCTGTATAACACCCTCATTAATTTTTTTTAACTGAAGTATAATGGGCTTTTTTTTTTGCTTAAAATAATCCTTCACTTCATCTGCAGGAGGGATAACGAGAGTAAATACATTTTCTGAAACTCTAGGGTTCTAAGCTGAAAGAAAATTTCTCATATTAATACAAGGTTGTCTACGAAATCAACCCAGCCTCTAATTTTAAAAAGAATTTTGGGAACAAATCGCCACTTAAACCACCAACAAGCATCTTACTGTATTGTGAATACAACATACAATGTACAGGCTATATCAGGGAAAAAGCTATAGCAAAAATATTTGCGAGTGTGTTAAAGAATCTTCCTATAGTTATGGCTGAAGCTAAGCCAAAGAAATAGCTCATAAGCCTTGCCATAAATGGTTTCTATAATTAATGAAATCAAGCTTAAATATTCCACTTTGTAAATTGGGCTGGAAGTAATAGTCAAAATATGTTAAATATATGTTTTCTCTAATGAAGTTAAACTATCTCAAAATTACCATTTTTTAAAAAATGAACGTTGTTGAGTAAAAACAGACAGTTTGAAAATAAAGTTTAATTGGAATTGATAATTAATTGCTTGGTCATTTCATGTGTTATTTTTAGATTCTTTTTCAATTTTTGTTTAGTACTGTTTATTCATAGAAGGGAGAGGAAGAGTGAGGAAAGATGGCTAACATTTCTTCGGCAATTTAGTGGAGCTTAACAGTATCAAAAGTATTTTCCAAGCCATTGCCCCCAAGGCTGATTAAACATCCTTGCTATCAGCATCCGAGGGCAGTTTATAATCTACTTTCTGAGCCTATATTTAGGGTTTGCACGATTTTATGTTATAGTAAACTAAGGATGAACAAAATGATCTATCTATCTATCTATCTATCTATCCATCTATCTGTCTGTCTGTCTATATTTATATATCTAAAAAAAAAGAGAATTGGGGGGTCATACTCCAAACATGCTTTTCTCAGTAGTGATGCTGCCCTAAAGACCAAAATATTTTTAGCAAAATATACATACCATATACAGATTAATGAACAGCGCACATAGGGTTTATACAATTTTACAAGGCTTCTCAAAATCACCCACCTAAGCAAACAAATATTGAGATGCAGTTACACCTTGGCCACATCATATCAAGTCCATCACTTTGTCACAGTACCCCAATATTGGTGGGTCCTACACTAATCTTAACATGGGTGATAAACATGCTAAC